TCCCATGGGTGGACTTTCGTCCTGCTCAGAAGTCATTTTCCCATCTCAGTCTTGACTACTCCAGTGTTTGTGTTGTTTATCCAATAATTGTCTCTTTTTTTTGTTAACACCACAAAGTAAAGGTTTTCTGGCAGCAACTCGACCATATAGTCCAGTTGCTCTTAGTCCCTACTTGACTGTATTAAGAGATACTGGCTTCCCTCTGTTCACGAATTGCAGCCCTCGGACCATTACAGCCATCTTCCAATTTCTTTTGCAGGTCACCACTAAGTGTTGATTTTCAGCCTTTGATGTCACTTTCCTTGCCCCAGACTGTTTCCAGTCAATGTTGCTTCCTGTCAACCTTTTTCTCTGTAAACAGTAGGTCACTCCATGCTTAGAAACATTTAACCTTCTGGCTATTTGGTGAAAAAAGAACCCTATTTCACTCAAAATTTCGAATTGAGTCCTCTGTTTAATTGTTAGCTGTGCCTTTCTAGCCATTACAAGCATAAAAATAAATATTTATCAAAATATCAAAAATCAGTTGTCATACAGTACAACAGAAGATTGTACAATAGACAGACAGTGCAATAAACCTCCCACAAACTGATCTGGGACAAGGCAAACAAGTGGCTATCAATTAGATTATTAAGACACAATCAAGAGAGACCAAGACGAAACCAAATCGAGTTCTGACATCAGTTAATAGAATTCCAACACAAAGTGAATGTCAATTCACTAAAGTCAGTCCTCATATGGCTTCTTCAAGACCAATAGTTTCAGCCTTTGTAGCTATAAAATTCCGAAAACCAGCCAGTTATATTGAAGTACTGTATTTCTAATATTTTCTTGTAATTAAAGTTTAACAAAGCAGTGTATTGTTTATTTAAAAACAAACAAAAAAAATCAGCGGGTGGACCCAAACATATACTACTTTATGGCAGATGTACATTACCCTAAGTCGGAGCAGGATGCTTGAGGAAGTGGAGCAGGGAAGAAGCAGACCGCTCGGCTCCAGCATTAGTTGAGTTTCTTAGCTTTGAACGTTAGCCGATCACAGACAGCGGACAGTTCCGGGTACAAAGGCGCGCCTCAGCCGGGCTCCGGCGGGTCCGTGGGCTCTGATGTTTCAAACAAAGTGAAAATAGCTGGCTTCGGGGCCGCATACACACCGGAGGCGGACCAGCTCCTGCAAGGTTAGTTTTTAATCCTTATTTACCGACACATTGTAAAAGGGATGTCGCTCTACATCGTCCGGAAGAGTGCTTTCTATGGCGCCTGTATATGAACGATTTAATTGCTGCCTTCCCTCTGCTTCAGGTGATTTCAGGCCCTGAGCTGATCTCTTAAAATATTGTATTAATTGAGTGTTAAAAATTAGATAATTTTTGTCTTGGTCTGCACAATTTCAAATGTAATGTCGTGCATATAACTTTTACATGTTGTCTGGCCGAAGGTCTTTGATCTCTCTTCCCAAGTCCCGCTTCCCGGGCCGCTGGAAGAGGATCCCGCTATATTTCCGCATCATTGGCGTTTAGGAGAAAATCAGTTACATATGAATTACATATGATCATGATGTTACATGCAAACCAAAATCACACCTTAAAAATTTAATTTTACAAACACGAAGTTATATGAATAGGGATTTTTTTACAATAGCGAAGTCTGCACATCAGTAATATAGCCTATATACGGTGTATTAGGCTAATATACCAGCTTAATATACTAGTGTTTCACATGGCTAAAATAATAATAATAATAATTCTCTTAATTTGAAATAACACCCATGTCTTTAGTGACGTCTTGTGATACAGACTTGATTTTTTCAGTGGGGTAATATTGTAACTGTAACTGTACTTCTCTGGATTATTTACATGGATGTGTATTTTGATTGATTGAAGTTACTTCTTTTTTTCGAAATTAATGAATAACACAGTAATTAAGTTTGTCCTGTTGATTCTAGAATGCTATTGTGGACTAACTACCGTCCAGCTCTTCAAAATAATATGTTACTGAGTAATATTCCACCTGCAGTGGTGCCACATGCAGAATGTGGAGCTCCTGAGTTCTCACAGACCTATGGTGTGGCCATGTGCTTTGAAGACTCGGACAGTGATGTACAGAGCACTGGCACATCAATGCCTGCAAAAGTTGACATGATCATTGACAGCCTCAGAAGCTCCCAGTCTTCTCAGGACACTGCCAAGGGGTATGAAGGACCAGGGCAAGCAAGTCACAGTTTGCACAAGGCAGGATCTGTGGCTGAGCTAAAAGATGTTAAAGCAGAGACCCATAGCCAGCACTCAGACAGTAGTGATTCAGTGGACAGAGAAATTGAGGAAGCTATTCAAGAATACTTGAAGGAGAAGTATGATAAGAATAGAATGGCAGCTGTTGATTTGGTGCAGGAGTCCAAAAAACCCAGTAGGAAAAAAATTAAGCATGAATTCAAGCCAAATAGCAATGCAAGCCTCGCTGCAGACAACAAAGTCCGAAAAACGATGGTCAATAAATCAACGATGGTGGATAATAAATGCGTTGGGACTAAAAGATTTTCTGAGCATCATTTATTGAATAAAAACAAAGGACTTAGTAGGGGTTTGGTCCACAAATGTTACTCTTCTCTAGAAATTACTAAACATCCTGTAAACTCAGGTCTTCATTCTCACCAGGAAAAATATTTGTCTTGCTCCTTTGACAATGATGGAACTGAAGAGGAAACTCAGAGATATCAAGCTTGGGAAGATAAGGCAAAGCTTTCACACGGTACCTTTACATCTTTAGAGTTAAAGGAAGAATCTGACTCCAGCACTGCTGATCGGATTGAGGAGGTGATTCAGAGATACAAGCCGGAGAAACAAAATCAGAATGCCAAAGTTTCACAGATACTCTGTAAACCCTTAGAACTAAAAGAAGACTGTGAGTCTAGTAGTGATGATGGGATTGAAGAGGCGATTCAGAGATACAAGCTCGAGAAACAAAACCAGGAAGCCAAAGGTTCACAGATACTCTGTAAACCCTTAGAAAAACAACAAGAGGCTGACTCCAGCAGTGATGATGGGATTGAAGAGGCGATTCAGAGATACAAGCTAGAGAAACAAAGGGAGATGGCTGAACACTCTCTGCAGCTCGGGAAAAACCCCATAGAAGCCATTCATCATTTCAAGCTAAAGAACCAAAAAATTTACCAGAAAAGGGTAACAGAAAAGCACAAGCTTTCTAAAAAGAAAAACATGCAAAAGAATAAAAAACAAAAGCCTAGGACAAATCAGTTCACAGCCTCTGAAACGCAGATGGTTTTAAAGAAATGCTCATCAAAGAAGAAAATGGAAGATCTGACAACTGTGCCAGTTACACCAGTAGTCTCCTGTCCCAGTCAAAATATGCCACTGAGCAGATGTAATATTAATAACAACAGTGTTTCTTCAACCAGAAATATCCCACCAGTGCAGTCACCGATTGCAGCATCCATTAATGTTAATACTTCTTCTGGGTTAATAGGTGCAAAGACCATTCTAGACATTTCTAAAACCATCATGCCTGCAACCATGAATCATATGGTGACATTAACCACCAGCTCTGTTTACCGATTGCCTTTCTTGAGTAGGGATTCCATAAATAGCCATGACAACAATAACAATAGCTCACTGGACAGAGGTGATAATGCTGCAAATGAAGTCAGTGAATTACATGAATCTGATGCAGGAACTCAGAAGCAGTCATGTGAAACACTGTCTTCAAGCAAGAATGGAGCCATCACTGAGCAACAAAACAAGGCCAACCTTTCCCATAGTAGGAAGATGCGACTCTCCTTGTCTCGGAAAAGGAAAATGAAAGAAGATTTTCATATGGAAGAAAGATCTCAGCATAAGAGTTTGGTGCTTGGACACACAAACAATGTTTCACTGACCAGCATATCAACAAGTTCAGCAAAGACCCGTGAAGATCTTGGTTTGAAGCACACTGCAAATATGGAAGAAGGTGTGAAAAAAAATGGGGAAAAGGACTCACTACACATAAAAGAGAATACTCAAATAATATCAAAATCTCACAAACAAGACTGTGCAGTTTTGAACAAATCAGGAATAATTTCACATAGAAGGGAAGAGACTGGAGAACTGGATGAAGATAAGAGCAGTTCACTGGAAAGTGATGAAGACCTTCACACAGCAATTAAAGACTTGCTAAAAAATAAAAAGAAGACAATGGATACAGGGCTGAAATCCAAAAAGAGTGTTAGTTTTGGAACTGTGCAGTTATGCCGTTCGGATGTAAATATATCAGATAAAGGAACCCCTGCTGAATCCAATAGGACATATTTTGAGCCAGACAAGAGCTGCAATTCAAAAAATGTCAAACTGGCAAGAAAACAGAAACTGATAAGCAACAGACATTTAAAACGGAAAATGAATCAGGGCAGCATTGAGAGGCTGGATGGTGAGATGATCACAGAAAAGGAAGTGCAGACTGGTACCACGATGTGTGGTACAGCACATAGTAATCAGGGCATAGAGAAAGTCTTTGGGTCTTCAGACAGTGACGACAGAATGGAGCATGAGATCAGCGCGCTCATAGTGAAGAAAGACAGGATTTCCAAAGAAATAAAATTTGTGGAACCATACAGGATTAGCACTAGACTTTTTGCTCATTCACTGGCAGCCAAGGAATTACATCTAGAATCTCAGCTGCCAGATTCTCAAGCAAGTGCTGAAGGTCAGTACTCAACTGAAGCTCAGTACTCAGTTGCTGGAGCTCAGTACTTCTCTGTATCAGAACAGCCAGCGAGTGTAGAAGGCCGGGTTCCTCAGAGTATGTCTGTAGATCTGCAGTCATGCTCTACGTTTTGGACTGATAATAGCGCATATGTCAAGACAGAAGCAGCTGAGCACACACTAAAAAATGACCAGCTGAATGAGGCAATTGAGCTTAAACCAGAAAGTACTGTAAAAAGGAGCCCATTGGTCCCCAGTGCAG